AACAAATCTGCGAAAGGTCTACATGTAGTATCTATATATGTAATATCAAAGCAATTGATTAATTGGTTTTTAACAAGAAGTCGAAAATATCACTTTTTACCAAAAATTACAAAAATATTCACCAAAATTAGAGAATTAAAGATATCATTACAAAATGAACAAATCTGAGAGAGGTCCACATGTAGTACCTATATATGTAATATCAAAGCAATTGCACTTGCGGTTTTTAACAAGAAGTCGAAAATATCACTTTTTACCAAAAATGACAAAAATATTCACCAAAATTAGAGAATTGAAGATATCAACATGAAATGAACAAACCTAAGAGAGGTCTACCCAAGGTACATATACACCAAGTATCAAAGCATTCAGGCTTGTAGTTTTCAAGAAGAAGTCGAAAAAGTAAAACATTGACACGGACGACGACGGACGACGACGACGGACGAACAATCACTCATATGATAAGCTCCGCTCGACAAAGTCGACAGCAGAGCTAATAAAAACTGACAAAGCATGCATACATGTAAGATACCACATTTTCAAAAAACAAAATGACTGCCTGTCAGCCATTTTAGATTGAATCAGTATACCACTGCATGTGCATATGTCCTAGATAAAGTACTAGGCACATACAAAGAATGAACACATTTGGTCCACAGGGTTCTGAAATATGACTCCGGTCGGAAGGAGACCGAATTATAAGTCCCTGTTTCGAACTTCGTTTGAACGAGAACTAAACATGGTTGTCATTTTTGAGTTGTATGATTTAATCCTAAACTTTAAAAAAAGAATGCCATATGGTACAAGGCAACATGTGCATGATGAAAAGAAAGTGAAATCAGGTTGTACAAATTCTCCTTATTTATTCATAAGGGGCATCATCGAGGGTTATAAAATATTCTATAGAATCATGTGTTCACAGTATAGCATACACAAGAGGGTTACGAACTATAGGTCTCAATGATGTATGTCACAATCAAGTATTTTATAATCCTATCGAGAGTTCAGATAAGTATTACACACCATTAAATCATAATCTGTTCTTATAAAGTTCCTGTTGGACAGGAAACTGAAATTACTTACACATTTTGTTCGAGTGTGACCACCATGTTTATAGTCTTGTGCTTTAGAGCATTTTTTTTTTTTTGCAATTTCATACACTCATCACAGTAAATGTCATTTTAGACTGATTTGATTTTTAACAACAATTTCACAGTTCTCAGTTCTCACCCAACTTGAAATAGTCAATCATAGGAGTGTCAGTTGAAAAAAAAATAATTTTGATTTTTACAAAGAATCAAAATAAAAAAAAAAATTTTAAATTAAAATAAACCAGACATGTACCGAATTTAAAACTGTGTGTTAATTGAGTGGATTAATTCAAAACTACATGTAATATAAGGACTCTTCCCAATAAAAAATTATTCTGGTAAAAGGTTTTTTATTTATATTAAAAATCATTTTTTTTCTTGTATTGATATAATAGAGAACAAAAAAGCTGATAATTTATGTAATTAGTAGGTAAATGTGACTGACATATGATTTTCCAAATGTGATGTCCGAAACACATTTAAACACGGTTGGCTAAATTACATTGTTTTACCTGCCAGATGTATAATAAATTATTTTTTGTAACAGTAATACTGTCAAATAATATCCTGTACTACCTGAGGCATAAGTGAATATACTCACTGTTGCAGCTAGGAATGATTTATTATTTATAACCATATAGTAATTCAACTGTTCAAAAATGGAATGTGCAATCACTGCTTTTAGCTGCATCTTCTGTATGTGTATTGAGGACTGTAATTGAATTGACTCAAACTGTTAAGCCCCCTATCCTTGAAACATAGTTAAGTCATTGAAGCTTATAGTCATCTCTAAATCTTTTCAATATTTTAACTTCAGTGTTGTGGGTAGATCTTGATCTTGTAAAATACGTTTTTACAGATTAGTTCAAAAGTACAACCACAACAGGTGAAATTATGAAGTATTGAAACAGCTGTTGAGGTTTAAGAGCATAGATATTTTTATCAATAGAAATTATGAAACTTGAATAATACTTTTAATACTGATAGAATATAAGATGGCTAAACTTACAGTTGAACTGATTTATACAACAGCTCGAACATTTGGATTAATTACCGGTATCTAATTTTTTATTTGCCCATGCAGTCATAATTTTTTTATATTTCTGGGGATGGATCTATGTCACAGAACGTTCTACGTTATTTGGACGTGCACCACACCCACTAATACAGTGATGGGACGTGGTCAACACTAAAAGATAATACACGTATGATTCAATCAAAAGCCAAATTATTTATGCAGTTTCATTTCATGTTTGGGAAGAACCTGTTTTACAAAGGTTGTCAACCTGAATAGAAGGGCAACAAACATGTATATTTGGTCCATTGGTTTTAATTAGAATCTGCTATTGCCCTCTTACTGTCTTAATGCGACAATCTCATCTAATTATCACTTGAGTAAATTTAAACTGACTGACTTGGCCTCATCTCAAGGGGGAGCAACATTGTTGGGCAAGGGCTGCAAAAACACTGTGCAATATGTCATTAGAGGCTCAATCAGTAGACAGTTGGCCAAATTCACTTGTGGAACAATAGACTGCATCTGGATGGGAACTTGGTTCCAGCTGCACTGGGTCACTCACAGGAACTTTGGCCTTGGGGAAACCATTTCAAAGAAACCAAGTAGGTGTGATGAATTCAGATTCTAACTCAAGGATCAACGACTATAAAAGCACATGGCATTATCTGCTGCCAAAACTGCCTGTTCAGACACTTGGCCAGTCAACTAGATAAATCGTGTACATCTGCATGCACAATCCAAACAGTCGTGATCATAGGCTTTCATCACTGTGCTTCAGATGTGATAAAATAGGCTTGGATTGGGCAGTCTTGTTAAATTGTTGAAGCACATGGTCCTTGTGACAGTGTGCTTCTTTGTGATCTGACATCTTCAATGTTTCAAAGCATCACAATACAGTAGTAAACTATCCAATCCATGAGATCTATGAATATTAAACTAACACAAAATGAGCTAATTAACTCTGCAATCAACAACTGTAAACTATATCATTCTGGGTTTTAAAACACTCCAATCACTTTGAGCAATGAAAAGAAAAATTATTGCTATATAGGGTCCAAACACCCCAAGGTGATCAACCATGGATATGTGATCATCTCCCATATTAAAAAATCATGACCAAGATAATCGATAATAGGATAATCAATCCACATGTTTCACTGATTAGTTCAACTGATCGTACCTGTATCTTCATCTTTATGATACAAGTTGGGTCTATTGAATGCTTTGTTATATGTTCATTAATAATTCATATTTGAAAGCATATTTTGATGAACACTACAGGCAATAAAATCTTAATTATAATAAAATTACTACCTTTATTGGCAGACTGCTCAGCTGAAAAATTAAATTAGAATTGGACAAGCTTTTAATTAATTATGTAAAGTAAAACAACCATAATTACCTACCTGAGTTATTTTTATACTTATACTAATTTCATACTATGAAACAGAAAATCTAATTGCAATCCAATCTTCTTATATAATATAATTTACATTGTGTAATAGCTACATAAATCATTTTTAATATTCCTACAAAATTGAGACAGACTTGAGCAAAAACTTTTTTTGACTTGTAATGTCAAATGTGACGATAAATTTTGATTGGATATGCATTTGCCCTTTCTACTTTCATAATAAAACATGCAAAGAAGATTGTTCAAACGAGTTATACTGATACAGTTTGATATCTATGCAGAATATCTAGAGCTGGTTAATTTCTTATGTCGCCTGTTGTTTATTAATCATCTTGCAGAGAAAATACAATTGGACTCCCTGCAATTATTTCTTTAGTCTTTGTGCCAATTAATTTTTATGTAACAGAGAACTCATTATTGCTTGGACATGCTGTATATATGAATATCTTAGGGCAACTGCAGTATAGATTACTTTATGATAATAATTGTACCAAAAATAACAAATGTTTGTAACTAAATATGACCAGTCGTTAATTACCGGTAATAAAAAAATATGACAGTACAGTCTTCAGTCACAAGCCTTAAAGCAAACTAATGGGTCTCTACATCATCATATTTGGGACATGACTTCTGTGTTAATTTCCTGTTTCAATCCACGGTTGTTTATAATTTGAACCTGCAACACCTGCGCACTGAGCAATTGTGGCCTTTTCATTAATTAAATTTAAGCCGCTTAACAAGAACACCCACATTCTTTATTTTTACTGGTGCACAAACAAAATCAATTATGGTAAAGTGCACGCTGCAATGCAGTTAAAATTTTAGTGTGCATATGACAATCTTAAAGCAATAATAGCTATGATTTTGCACATTTTTTTTTGTTTAAAGCGAGAGAGTCGTCACCTGCGCATGCGTTTTTAGCATGTATTATTATCGTCGCTTGGGACTCATTTCCCACGCGAGCGCAGACGACGACCCTCTCGTTTTAAATATAACCACATAAAGCTGATCAAATCACACCAAGATATTGTTTTAGACGCAATTGCATGGGCTAAGTAACCCCACACAAGACTAATATCACAATACATTCCCGCACAAGCACATTACGCCAACATATCTATTTTGAGTCATTTTAAGATATGATCAATTATAATAAATATTTTTATGTTCAGAAAATATTTGCAGATGTATTTTACTCACTGCAACATTATTTTTTTAAATTCAAGAATTTAATTTCCTACAAAATCTCAACACACAAAAGTTGGGAAAAGACTAGTAGAATGGGAGTATTAAATTAATGTGGAAACATAGTGTTGATAGCCTTCATTTAATACAGTCATAATAAATTTCAATTTAATAATAGCAATATTATCGAAACGGAAATAAAACATTAGTTTCAGCTATGAATGTCTGTTGACACAATCTGCACAGATAAAATAAGTGGAAATGTTGAAGTACGATATAATGAAAACAATACCTTGTGAAGGAGCAGCATCAATGTTATTATGCTAAGTCCAATAGCCAGGCCAATTACTATCAAAGTTATTAACAGAGAATGTCTTTGTTGAACACGATATTTTTTATATAATTCTTCCATTTCCATCTTTCTAAACTTCTCCTTAAGTTCACTGAGCGACCAGTGAGTTTGATCTGCAGCATTTTCTTGATCCTGGAATATTTCCTCAATTTCCACCGAGTCCAAGGTGAGGTCATTATTTTGAGAGCGTCCATATTCCAAATTCATTTTGAATGTCTCAGGAGGTTGGCATAACAGTCACAATCCCAGAATGGTAGTCATCTGATTAAGAGAAACAGGGAATTACATATTAATCAAATCAGCCTACAATACTTTTGTTAGTAGTAATTGACCTCATACTGCTGAATCACGTTCAGTATTCAAGTAAGGAACAAAAAGATTAAATGAGACGCATAATGTAGTTCAGAAGCCACATGTGCAGTGTAATAATTAAATAGATTAAATGGATTGCGATTATACCACATGAAGTAGATGGATTACCCATGAATTACAACCTGTAGCAGGAAGTGAACTATAATCATCCAAAAAGAGGTTTAGATACCTGAATGGAAAGGTTGATTTTTCTCAGTAGAGTGAAATTTTATAATACCCCATGCATCAATGATTTGTTATTCTGATCAAGCGTATTAAACATGGAAATTCCCACACAGCTGAGCTCAAATTCACTGCAGTAAAACCCAAACATCCCCTAATTTGATGTTAGATGGGCAAGAAGCCTTCATTATCATAATGGGTGGAATGGGGGATGGGTCTTTTTTATGTCATAAATTGTCATAAGAGTATCCTATTTTCACCACCTGAGACTTACATTCAAACAAGTTATTGTTTTTCCCTATCAGCAGACACATTTCAATCAATACAAGTAATAAATACAGCAGCATTGCTTTCAGAAATAAATACATTGTTACTCTTTCTTATACATGTATATCTAACTATAAATGTTGCCAATCAATAAAAATTGTAAATATGAGACAATTTAAGTATTTAATCATATTTCATACCAAACAGGTCAATATCCCACTTTAAAACCAGGAGATGAGATTTTTTTTTAAATCGCTAAAAGCAACATTTTGTTATCTGCAATTGCAACTTGCAACATTTGGCAAGTGAGTAAAAAGTTAAATCTGTATTCCACAGGGACGAGCAATTTCTGCAATTTGCTGTCCAAGTAAAATTGCCTGTCTGGGAACGGTGGACATTCATTTTAACCTCCAAAAACTGTGTTCATTGAGTAGATAAAATCACTCCAGTTACTACAACCACATTAGGGAAATCTTAGGAAGATTAATGACAAAATAATCAACAACAATATCTGAACAGACATGTTGACCTAGTGCATTAATCAATGTTAAGGGGAAAATGGTTATTATAGTTAACATCACAATGACCAAAGAGACTATTTCATTTATCTACATAAAGGGAAGTAATTTTCTTTCAAACAATAAATCAATGTTGGCTAAACATCTAGTTGCGTAAAATCATTTTTTATGTAAGTTTTAATGCACATTGTCTTGTCCAAAAAGTATTCAATACACAAAGAAACAAGAAGAGTTCCACCGCAGAGTTCACCAGTATCAATACTATAACAAGTCATTGAAAATAACACAGTCCCCGTCATATTAAAGCGGAGGGGCTGTCACGAGCGTGTCCTTGAAACTTGAGTTCCAAGTGGCGTATACAACAGATTGTTTATTTACATCAAAACACGTGTTTCGTGTCATAGTAATATGGCCAAAATAAAAACAGCCGTTATTCAGCCATCTTTGATCTGATTATGAAACACACTGATATGTATGATTGATGTATGTGCCAAATACGAATGGAAATGGTACATAAATTGTGGAAATATAGTAGTAAGGCCAAAAAGTCAGATGGCTGTCAATCGGCCATTCTTTGAAACAAATTGTCATGGACATGCATCGTAAGATGTATAAAGTACCGCATAAAAAAACAAAAACAAGATGCCTGCCAGTCGACCATCTTTGATCCAATTGTGAAATAAATTGTCATGGACATGTATTCTAACATGTATAATCTATGTACCAAGTTTGAATGACAACTGACAAAGCATGTCCAAAATACAACATTTTCAAAAAACAAGATGGCTGCCAGTCGGCCATTTTGAATCGAATCGCTAAACCACTGCATGTGCATATGTCCAACATAAGGTACTAGGCACATGCAAAGAATGAACGGAATCGGTCCACAGGATTCTGAAATATGACGTTGGATAGA